CTGGCCTCTTCCCCTCGCCACGCCCTCCACGCCACCCAGGTCTGCGCCCTGGTTCCTGCCTCCCAGTCTCCTTGGGACTCCCCCGCTGCCTTGGGCCAGGGATAACCCTTCGGGGTGAGTCCACAGGCGAGGTCTGGAAACTGTCCTTGTTGTTTTAGTTGGCTTCTGGTTTGGGCACGAGGGGACCAGGCACAGTGAGCAGAGGGTGAAGTGCTCTGATGTGACTCTTTGTCCCTTAGGGGTCTGGGAGCACAGAACAAGCTACTGAGCATAACTCCAGCTGCTGGGGTGGCCCTTCTTCTACCCCACAGGTTACCCCAGTCTCAAACAGAGTGGGCCCAGCTCCTAGAGTCCCAGCAAAAGTACCACGACACCGAGCTCCAAAAGTGGCGGGAGATCATCAAATCTTCGGTGATGCTCCTTGACCAGGTGAGCTGCCCTCCCTGCCCTCCCTGCCCTCCCTGCCCTAGTCACGAGGACATGGAATTCCTTCTCTGTGCTCGGCAAAGGAGCTCCATCTCCACCAGCACCTGCCAGGCCTCATTCGCCTCTGCATGCTTCTCCTGGGCCACCTGTTGTTCCAACTTCAAAGCCATCCGGGAATGGGCTGTGGAAGTAAAACAAGGAAATAATAGCAATGGAGTCACACGCTGGGTCAGCAGCAGGAAAGCTATAGTTCAGGAGGGAGGAGTTCTTTTTCTTTTCTTGATAACCCACAGTCACCTGACAGGCATTTCAAAAGAGAACTCCCTTTTTAGATTTGTCTTTAGTTCCTTTTGATGTATGCCACCCTCAGAGCATCACACAAACACACCACTTTCAGCACCAGAAATGCTGGGAAGGTGGCTGGACCATGTCTTCTTTTCCTAACATCTTCCTGGTACAGTTGCTTGTGTCCCTTCTGAAAACTAGCTGCCTCTGTTTACGAATATCATCCTGGGGCAAAATCAATAATTAGGCCCATTTTTTTTTTTTCAGGGGAAGGAGCTGCTTCCTTCCCCAAGGAGAATTTAGCATCTTACAAAAGGCTCCCAAGTGGTTGCCAAGACAGCAGGCACCTACCTCTGTTATGCAAGACAATTAGAAGGATAGGAGACTGCAGATTTGTCCTTCTGCATTACAGTTCTGTCCCTAAAGAGTTCCTTAGGTCCTGTGGTCAGCCAGACCTGAGCTGCAATCCTAACCTTGCCCCGAGCTGGTTTTGTGACCCCAAGCTAGGGATATCCTATTTCTTCACAGACAAAATGGGAATTGTACTCATTGCTTCAGAGTTTGCTGACACATGGGAGGTGCTCATTAATATCAGACTTTATTTCCCCTCCATAGTTTGGTCTTAGCTCTAAATTAAGGAGAGAGCATTTTGGCACAGCTATCAGGATCCTGTTTAATGTATAGCTGTTTAGCTTTCGAGCCACATTTAAGGAGGAATTTTTTTACCTGGAGGAGGATAAGTGGCACAGAGAGGAGTTTAGAGGCCCTATTATACGTACAAAAACGGGTTGATAGAGTTGAAGATACACTCAGGAGAAGGGAAGGCTGTGGGGAGGAGAACAGGATTGTCCGCAGACGTCGAGGTCCAACAGGCAGGACAGACTGGGAAGCTCTAGAGGATGGGCTCTGGCTAGACATTACAGGAAGGTGGGTTTTTGAGTCATCGCATAAAAACAGCCTGCTGTGGTGAAAGCCGCCAGGCACTGGAGCCAGCTGCTGTAAAGGACTGAGATTCCATTTCTGAAAGGGCTCAAGAGGTGGCGAGATGATGTGGGATAAGGAATTTAGGAATTAAGCGGGGTGAGCAGGAGTTGAAGAGTTGAACTGGATGACTCAGTTCTCTTCCCAACTCTAGAATTCTATTTCAAGGGGGTCCCTGTAGGTTGGAACTTGGGAAGGTCAGATTCACAGTGTGGTAGATGCGACTCCATGAGCATTAGGTTAGGGTTTTGTTTTATTCCCTTTAAAAGTAGCTTTTAAAAGAAAAAAAATGTGGGCCCCCTTATCCCATTAAAGTAGAGGATGTAGAAGAAACAGAAGAAAGTGGGAAATGAGGCAGAGAGACCAGAGGTTCTCAAAATCCATAACCATTTACCTATGAAATGTTAACTGTACTGAGGTGGAACACAGCTAATTACTTACAATGTTTTAAATGTGTTGTGGCATGACTGGCCTTTTCAGGACTTTACTGCTGGAGCTGCCCCATTTAGATGCCACGCCATGACTAATAATGTTTGTGTCTGTTTCTTAAAGGAGGTTAAGCAGTTCAGTTAAGGTTAAGTTAATTAAGTGAGGTGGGTACAACCAGATGCCTGCCCTTGTCTGCTTGGCTCCCAGGGTGTATAAGGGAAGAATTTAGACTCATCACAGGCCAAACAGCCATGAAACAAAAGTTAAAGATGACTCGTTCAGAGCCCGAGGGGTACACGGGGTGTATGAGAGGCCGGGTGAAGGAAGGTGGTGGTGAGCAGAGAGATTGGGTTTGTTCGGGACCTTAGCAGTGGGTGGGGCTGGAATAGGCGAGAGAAAAAAGAGGTGCCAGGCTGTGGAATGATGTGGCAGAGGGTACAAAGGCAGGGAGTACAGGATCTTCAGAGTCAGTGGGGAGCTAAGTTGGCTGAGTCGAAAACCAGGTTGAGTGGCAGTGCCACACGTGGCTCCTCCTGACAGCTGAATGCTTGTGCGAGATCCACAGATCACTGACACGTGGCAAACCTTACCCCAGGGGTTCCCTGTGCTAGACTGGCTTCCCCTTTCTGCCCGAGACTGCATCCCGTGAATGCCGCCCTTGCTTAGAAGCCCGGCTCTCTTTAGCTCCCTGGCATGGTAAGGGCCCTGCCATTGGCTGGCGTGGGGGGCACTGCTGGACGGAGAAGCCCACGGAGGGCACACACCCGGGGCTGTGGCGGGCTCCCTGTCTTACAGATGAAGGACTCCCTCATCAACCTTCAGAACGGCATCAGGTCCCGGGACCACACACCAGAAAGCGAAGAGAAGAGGAGCCGCTATCACTGACAAGGCAGGGGCGGGGGCGGCCGCCGGAGGCCTGTGCAATACATGTACATAGACCATATAAATATATATATATATATACAGAATATAAATATATATATATTCTATACAGATTTTAAAAAGAGATAATGCCTATGTACCAGGGAGAAGGAGCAGAGCCGCCCGCTGTGCCGGCCGGTGGAAGGGCAGAGGAGGGCAGGGACCACCTCTCAGCGCCGACCTCCCCTGACCCTCCTCCTCCCCATCCCCTCGTCCACACCCTTTCCCTTGCTCGCCTTCTTGGCTCTGAGAAGGGAAGTGTTATTGAGCCAAAGTTAATGCCTGTGAAGACCCTGAGGTCTTAAAAAGAAGTCTCAAGGGGCATTGCTTATGGTGCTTCATTCCGATTCCCTTTTGATTTGTTTCCAAAATAAAAGAGAATCTTTCCTTCCCTACGCCACGCTTCCCCAGGTGTTCTCTTGTGAACGAGGAAGCATTGAGGGCAGGCACCCATTCTGAACCCCACCCCACGAGGCCACCCCCTTTCTGTGGACCATCCGCCAAAAGCCAGGTGGAGAAGGCGGTTGGGAAGCTCGGAGGCCTGCGCTGTGGGGCCGGGCTCTGTAGCTGCAGGCCCCCCGAGGACCCCTGTTCCAAAGGTCAGCCTGCTCCATCACCCCTCGCACCTCCTTCTGACCTGTGTAGGGCAGGGACCCAATAAGGGCTGGGGATTTCTTCCTTTCCCACCCTCCTTCTCTCTGGTCTTCTCCCAGGCTGGATCTGGGTGAAGCATCACATTTTTAGTGCCTAAAGCCCTATTTTTTTCTCTGTGCCCTAAGAGCACATTGTCTATTAGCCAGGGCAGAGCATTTTTGATCTTGTTAAACCTCTTATAGTGGTTATAAGCAAGCCAGGTCTGTGGCTATAATTCCCTCACTTTGAGCTGTCAGGACAAATCAGGGTGTCTTAGGATGTCCAGGGTTCAGGGTGAATGCCCTAGCAAGGAACAGGCTGTAGGTTCCAACCAGAGACTGCTGTGTGAGTGGTGGGCACCAGTATCCAGCATCTGCTTGGCTGCCAGCATCGTCTACTCTCAGTGACGGGCCCACATCTCTCAAGGGGGACAGCTGTCTGGGAAACACTGTACGTCGAAGGCGACCTAAGCCCTTGGGGGGAACAGATTTGGCAACGGTGCATTCATTTGGCCGGTAGAGAGCCAGATCGGGATTCTGCCCCCATGGGAGCATTCCAAATCTTGTCGCTCAGATATGGGAGTGGGAGTTCTGGCAGAGCGGGCAACGCCTTCTCTGGTCTCTGGCCCCAGAGAGGAATGAAATCCCTAAGGAGTAGGAAGGCGACCTTGGTTTAGGAAAGCAAGTTGCTCAGGCTTTGACCCGGTGGCACCCTTCTGGGCATGCTTACCATCCTTCGTGCCCTGTTTCTCCTTGTATTGACCAAAAGAATCCTGCCAGCCTCACAGAACTCGCAGGGATTCTTGATCAGGAAAGCACTGCACCCGTTTGGCAAGGAGAGCTCTCCCCTATGGCTTGGTCTCCTAGTGATCCTCTTGAGACAGGGGGCAGAAGGAAGGGAGAGCTCATCGGTCATCACCCAGGAGAAGAGCAGGGCATCTTCTGTTGGGATGGCCTGAGCATCCTATTCTGGCAATGAAAGAGCTTTTTGACTTTTTGGTCTGGGAATATGGCCTTGTTATTGCTTTAAGGGCAGGATAACAAGCCAGAAAGATCCATGCCTAGGCCATCCCCCAGGACAGTAGGGTGGGAGGGCCCCACGGGATCCGCCAGAATCCATATCCCTCCCCTAGAAGTGCAGTGAGGAAGTGGAGTTGAGGGTCATCCTCGTGAAGGGGGGATGTGCCCCCGGCCAGCGCTCGCTGCTCATTCTGATCCAGGATTTGGAGCGGGAGACCCTGGTGAGGGTCGAGGCTCCTGGGCCCGCAGCCCGAGGAGGGGTGGGTGCAGGGTGCTGGAAACGTCCCTGTTGGAGTAGCCGGGAGCCAAAATCATTCCCAGAGACTTTTGAAAAGCAAAGATAGTAAACGATCTAAGTTATTCCATACATGATTACTTATTTATTTAAACTATTCAGTTATTAGAGGCCCCATTGGTAGGACCTCTGGGTCGATATTAAGAGGGTTCTTTGCTGGGAGTACAGTGATACAGGGAGACCTGGCTTCGCTGCTCTGCTTCTGCTTGACCTCTCAGGCCCACTCCAGGGACGAGCGGGTGACAGGGAGGGAGGGTTCGAGCTTTGGCTTTGTCTGGGAGGCGGGCAAGGCTGGGCTTTCTCAAGCTTAAAAGAGGCCCTGCCAGGGGAGAACAAGCCTTCCAGGTTAGAGATGAGTGGCAGGGCAGGGCCTGGGGTCCCGGGCAATGCAGGGTAGTTAAACTTCTTCTCTATGGGCTAGAAGGGCTGGGGAGGCCGCGACACAGTGAGAGGAGGGGAGAAGGAGGGAGGCAGGAGGGGCTGCATTGCTCAGTGTTAACCTAGGAGGGTGTTTCTTCCCTCGCTGGCTTGGTCTTCGTTCGGGAGGGGACCTGCCTTTGGACTTCCTCTAAGTTAAGAGAAGGAAGTAGTGGCAGAAAGGGCATCATCTTAGATGAAGGCGCAGAAGCCTTTCACCCATCCTTCCTCCTCCTTTTGAGAAGAATCAGTGAAGAAAAGGCATTCCTGGTTCTAGCACTTCTTCTCTTTTGGCTCAGCCCAAACCTGCTGGCATTTGGATTCTGTGTGCAGCTTTGGCCCAGATCCTTGGCTGGTGCCAGAGCGCTGACGCTCACTAGGACCCTGGGATTTCAAGGGGAAGGATCAGGAAACCTCAGGAGGAATGCTTCGACAGAAGTGGAGCCTCTCCACGCCCGTGTCCCCAGCCCAGGCTTGGACCACGTGGAATACATTTGAAGGCAGCATCTCTGGGGTGAAATCTTGCAAAAAGAACTGGAGGAAGAATTTCTCTGGACTGTTTGTGGTCTCAGAAGGATCCTTTCTGGGCTGCGCTTGCTATGCTGTTGCTTTAGCTCTGCAGGGCAGCCAGAGCCAGGCCTTCCTCCCCAGGCCCCGCGCGGGAGGGCCACCCTCTTCTCTCTCTCCCCAGGTGGCAAGGCTGTGGTCTCCCTCCCCACATGCCCGACTCACCTGCCTGCTTCTCTAGGAAACTGGAGAATCTCTCTTCCGGATTCTCTCCTGCCCCACCCTTGCCTCTAGGCTGTGGGACAGTCACCCCATTCACCACTTGCCCTCCCCAATCCTCATCCCCCCAAATCCAGCAGGCTGGCCCCTCTCCCTTCCACTTCTGTGTTTTCTTCCAGAAGATGCATTTTGGGTCTGAGAGGAGCATTTTTCCGGAAGGCACCTTTTAACACCCCTGCTTTCCCGATGTGGAGCAGGAATTTGCACACGGTGTAGAGAGCGCCCCTTCCCACCTCTCTGCCCAGCCTCGTTACCTCACTCCTGCTCCAGCCACGGCTGTGATGGGCCCAGCCAGCTCCTCGTTTTGGTGTTCTGTGCGGCCGCTCAGGGGTCTTGGCAATTGTTTTCTGTTGTGACCTGAGGTCCTCAGCAGGCCTGGGAGCCTGGACTGGAGCCTTGGCTGCTGGCGAGAAGTACCTTGCCTGCCAAGAGGGGCTGATGCCAGACGATCCACCTGACATGCGAAGATGTAAAGGACATTGTCACCTCTGCCTCTTGGCCCTCTTGGCTTCTCAACACCGTGAGACACTCCAGAAGCAAAATGGTGGCCTCTGCTCCAGGCAAGACAGCTGGCTGAATCTGGGGAGTTGGCCCCTGGGCTTGGGTTCCTCATGCTGAGATTGCATAATCTTTTTGCCAACAGTAGTGTGTGGCTCCCCACATTTCTCTATCCTGCACTCTAGAGCCAGACCACTCTCTGCATGGACCAGATCATCTTCCCAAACCCATGGTGCTTTCTCCCCCACTCAACCTAGACTCCAAGGTGGGGAAGGACGGGTCAGAGGCCTTAGTGGCCCCTGGATAATCCTGACATGGGGTGGAGTGGGGGGAGGCGGGGGAGCAGCCCCCAACACCTGCACTGGGCCATACATGGGAAAGAACACAGGTTGATTGCAGTCAAGTTGTCTGGCCATCTGTATTTGGATCTATAACTGTACTTTGCCTGGCGCTGTGCGCAAGGTCTGAAAACTTACTGCTAGTACCTAGAAACATACAAGGCTTCCCAGCCAAATCTTAATGTAAAGTAGCTAGAGCCATGGAAGTACAGTATGAATTAAAAGAAACAAGTATTGAACTACAAAATACATGGTGTGTGTGTTTATTGCATCATTCATTACTGCTCATCATCCCAGGTGTTGCCGGCCTTTCTGGATGTGGTCAGGACAAGTCCTGAAGGCATACCTGTGTGTGTGTGTGTGTGTGTGTGCCTGTGCGCGCGTGTGTGCACCCACACAGGCACCCTCCTACACCTACACATAGCCATCCACTCAACATCTGGGGAGGGAGGCAGCCTGATGAAGTGAAATGGACAAGAAGTTTTGGGGTCAGACCTGAGTATAAACTACAGCATCACTATTGACCAGTAGTGTGTACCTTTGACCCCCAACTAATACTCCAAGCCTCAGCCTTTTAGAGGCTGTGTGTGTGTGTATTTGTTAGTACAGTGGCTGGTAGTATACTAAGATAATTTTTTATTTTGTTATTAATCAGTACTATTGTTACTGCAGGGGCATATGATGGATTGGGAATCCCAATGACAATTTTCTATTTCCCTTTTTCAGCCTTGGCCACTGGGAGCCAGCTTTGCTTTATTTCCTTAATGTTCCCTAAACCGGTAAGGGAGTGTGACCCCTTCCTTCATCAGGCCTGCCTTGCAGTTAACCCCTGCCACTTGGTAGGAAATTGTGTGATATCAGGCAGGTGAGAACACAAGTGACTTTTGTATTCCTCTGTATTTGGGAGGAGAGGCTAGACCACATACTTACCATAAGTTTAATTCTAGACTATTAAATGTATTTGTCATTCTCTGGGCATGCACCCCCTGGTGGTGGGCTCTGGAATTGACGTAGGCTAAGGAGGTACATAGAAGCCATAGTGTATGTAGCAGACACACACAGGAGAGCAAACAACAAGCAGTGTTTAGAGAGACTTTATTGACATAACAGGGAATTTACTGAAAAACACTACATACTGGCATTAGGTTGTCGAGAGTTTGGGGTGGTCAGGAACATTTCTACAGAGTTCAGAAAAAGATTGGCTGAGGAAAATCAAGAAAAAGCAATGTGAAGGTAACAGCATGGTAAAGAGCCCCATCTGTTGCAAGACTGTATTTGCTCATTGTGTTTGAGGGCATGTCACAGACCTCCTTCCCCATCACACACACTGCCCAGCAGATGCAGCTCTTGCCAAATGGTGACTCAGGGAAAAAACAAGAGTGTTACCCATGTTGAGGCTTAGCTGGCCTAGCGCAGTGGCTGAATCTGATCTACAACTCAGAGTTGCTTAAAGTGATAATCTCCTACTAGAAACTCAAGTGGTGGTGGTGGGGGACTAAACATGAGTTATCTGCCACAGTAGACTTTTAGAAATTATCAAAGGCTTGGGTAATATTTTCCATACCTAACACCATGGGGCACACCAAGGGTCTAGATTGGTGCCTGACCCAGAGTGGGTGCTGAAATGTAGATGCATGACAGTGGGACTAATGAATATAAGGACTATTCAAATATATTTGCAATAACCAGGTGAATTCCCTGGGTTAGGGATTTTTCATTTACAAAAAGGAAGACTCTTCTTTTTCCTTCATTTTTCCATTTCCAAGTTAACCTAGGAAAGAGGAACTAAGATATTTCTGAAATGCGTGTAGCTCTTCTTCCTACAAAGATGCAGTTACACAGCCTTTCCTCTCTGATTTATGACAAGTGGGCTCACAGATTCTGAGATGGTGTTTTTCCCTTTTTGATATAGTTTGGTGGTGGTGGTGGGGGGGAGCTATTGTCTCTTAACCATTCACTGCTTAACACATATTTTGAATATATTTCTGCTTTGAAAAATTCCTACTAACCTTTCTAGTTTGGTATCTAAGGAAAACCGGGAACTCAAAGAATCAGAAATCTGGGTGTGTGGATATTTGTGACTGAAATACTAAAAGATATTGCTTCATCTGAAAATAAGGGTTGGGGAGAGGCAGGCACTGACTCTCAAGATCCTTCCACAAAGGACATGGGGCTGTGATATAAGACTGAGCAGGCAGTAAGAAGGTGAGTAGGGCAAGATGCTTTCACGGCCACCTAAGTTGAGCAATCAAGTTCATGGCTATTAAGCAGGAAGAAAAGAAAAATCAGATCCAGCCTAGCTTGGCCTTCAGTGAATTGTGTTACTGAGGATCAGTCATGAGAAATATCCAGCACCAAGACAACAAGTGGGGTTCCTAAAGTGATAATAGCCCTTGAGAACACTTCTAAGCCCTTTAACAAGAAGAGCATGCCCGATGAAGCTTCTGGAGCAACGCATGTTTAGTCTGGGTCCTTTTTAGGAATATGGGGAGAGACGGGGAGTGGGTGAGGATTTGAAGTAGGCTTGTGTTCACAGTACCTTGTAGACTGATAGTCATGATCAAGTCTCCCAGGAAGGAGTTTAATTGTAATTCAGGAGAAATGATGGTGTATCAACCAACTAGAAAGGGAAAACCGAAGTGAGATTGACCCTCAAAGCACATGTCTAGCATCTGCCACAAAACAAAGTGGACGAGGGGCCGTGGAGCAGGAACAGGGGTGGGAGATGCTGAACATCTCAGGACGGATGAGAGGCAGCGACTAGGCAGAAATCAAAAAAGGAAAGAGTAGCTATGGTCTAAGTGGAGAGAGAGGTGGGCAGACAGTCAGTAGGCCTGGATTCCAGCTCTCCATGTACCAACAATGAACATAGGATTTGGTGAAGCTACCTAGCCTCAGTTTCTTCATGCACTACGTATCAGCAGTATCTGCCTCACGGGGCTAGTTGTGAAGAAGAAATAGGTGAAATGAAAATGCTTTGTGAATTGTATAGCTCAGATGACAGTATTAAGGATGAGAAGAGTTGAGAAGTTAGAAAAAGGAAAAGATTACTTGTAAAAGGTAAGAAAAAATGATAGGTGCCTTCAGCTCATTAAAAATTAGGAAACGTCTGGGTTGGACTTTTTTAAAAAAAAAGGCAATCATGCATATTACATTATAACTTAGATGCATTGTCTACTGGAAGCAAGAGGGAGGTGGCGTGGCAGGAAGTAGCTTGCTTCTACTATAAGCTCTGCCATCAACCAGCCATGTGACTGGGAAAACCTCACAGTAACCCAGGCCTGTTTTCCTAACTATCAAGTAAGAAAAATGATCTATGTTCTGTCCCTTATTTCAGAGGGATTGTGTGGGAAATTACCAACGAGAAATGTCTTGACAAAGTTTTTTCTTCAATAAAATTAGACTTTTGAATATATAAACAAGGACTTATCTCAAGGACTTCCCCAGGGATGGAAGAGATGAAAAAAAAAGAAATTGAGCTTGTTAAGTGAGGCCCAAGGCCAGTGAGGTATGATCTTTTCACTACTAGTTCCCCCAGATCTGAGGGTAACTAGCTCATCGACTCCCCTTAACTGTCGTCATATCTCATAGAGCACCCCCCCTCCCTTATTACTTGGACCAGTCACTCAATTAAAATGCGACACAAGACACTGAAATGTTTCCAGTGTACCTCTGCTCTCCCAAAATCTAGAAGAAGAAAAAAAATAACCTAGGCATTCTGATTCACAGGTGAAATATTCGGAAGCCGCTAGCCCATCCCTCCCCTGTCATTTCACTCAGTCACTTATCCATGTCAGACTAAGAAGCATGTTTCCTAGTTTAAATGTGATTCCTAGAGGCAGTTGCCTTCTGCAGCGTGTTTCAGATTCATAAATCTTTTCACTAACGAAATTCCTCAAGTCCCCCTCGTCCTTCTCTCTACCTTTTTTAGTCAGTTTCCAGTTACCCAAACCTACCAGAGTCAACCTCAGCCAGGCAATCCACCTCAATCTGTGCTTTTGGAAGAGGCATAGCTATAGCCACACTCAGTTCAAAGCCTGTCTAAAGAACAATCAGCCCATCTTCAAAGTGTCCGCTGGGCAGCACCTAAGGCTTGTCTCTGCCTCAGTTTATCCTCTGAAGTCTTTTGCTCAGTGAACCCTGTCTGAGCCTCAGCTGCCTCCTGTAAAACGAGGAATAATACTGATCCACAGAAATTTGGAGAGGAAGAACTTCGGAATTTCAGTTCCAACACCCACAGGAAAATAATGCCTCCTAGCTCTCTCAGGTGGTATGTTCCCTGGGAAGGGCACATAGATGTTACCCCAAGATCATCAACATGTTGGTTGACTTTAAGGAGCTACTTAAGTTGCTATCAGTTCTTCTCAACTCTCCTGGCCTTGGCTTGAAGAACTGAGACCAGCCTAGGCCTTACAGACCTACCGGGATAAGGCCCTTGAGTACCACACTCCAGAGAGCTATTCAGTCCATGCTCAGTGGACTTCCTATCATTGGAGAACCTAGGAAGGCACGCTTTGCTCTGATGTTTAGCCGAGTGGGCCAGGAATATGAAACAACTGACTTGCAGGAATCCTCACTTCATGACACTATTGCTTGAACCCAAATGAATCATCCTGCTTCTTCCATTAAGACATCCATTCACTTCCAGCCATGGAGAATGAGCCAGTTTCCACCAGCTGGGGGCCAGGGAGGGATGTGCCACCCCCAGCACTTGTGCAAAGTCATGTGGAGCACAGGGGAGAAGTCCAGTTGGTGTGGGTGCTGCTTCCTTGAAAGCTAGGACGGGGAGGTTGAGTCCATGTAGAAATGCTGGCTCCTTGGTTCTGGCCAAGTCTTACAGTGTGTAGAGGTCTGATGGAGTTGGGAAGTCAGGAGGTGGATGTTCAGAGGTGAGTGGATGTGTGATGAATGAATAGAAGGATGGATGCGTGAAGGGAAGCAATGTGGCCCCTGAGGCACCCGCCTGATGCTGTTGACATCACTGAACCTGGGCTTTCCAGTCCCTCGGGGTTCAGGCCACCTACCAATGATAAAACAACTCACTGAGAATTTCCAGCCTAGCCCAGTTTCGCCCAGCCAAGGACTCTCTGACCAAATCCATGAATCTTGCAAAGGCAGGGGTGGGGGAAATACTTTCGCTCACTATGGGTCAGGAGCTCACGTTGCCCCTACAGTTGGGCCAAAGCAGTTCACTTTCTAAAGGGCTTGACATCACATGGAGCTTTGTGACTTGGGAATCAACTTCAAGCAGTACCCTGAGGGTGAGGACACTGGGTAGAGTAGAAATCTAAGGGACCAAATCTAAAGACACTTGCAGTTGTGGCTGACAGTCACTTGTACACCTGCCACATCCTTAGCCACCTTCCCCTCCCCATCTCTGAACATCACCTCAAGTCACATCCCTTCTCTATTCCTCCACCGGTACCGCAGGGTTCTCTTTGTTCTCTGATGGGATGGCAAGGTAGTCCGACCTGCAGGAGGACAGACATGGGAAGAGCATCAGGACTTTTGTACCCAGAGCGGGAACAAGAAAAAGGAAGGATCGAAGGCGCATGGACAAGGATGTCTCCAGAACAGGTTTGTGTTTCCTCTGGCTGTGTTTCCCAAGAGAAAACTAGAATGGCCTTTCAGCGGACTAGAGTAATAGGAGTTGGGGGTCTTTCCTTCCGTCCACAGTATATGAATCTTCTCATTTATCCATGTTGTTCTCAGGACTGAGGTCAGAATGTTGGCCAACTGATGGATGTGCAATTATATTTTATAGTTGCTTTGCTTTTTATTTCCGAGTACTGCTAAAGTCGAACATCTTTTCATAAGTGTACAGACTACTATTTGGGTTCCTACTATTGTAATTTGACTGTTGCTTTACCAGTTTTTCTTCGGAGATAATTTGTCTTTTTCTCATTGATCTTTCTTGGGTGGCTTCATGTCTTAAAAATATCTTCTCCCAGTCTGTTGCTTGTCTCTAAATTTTGCTTATGGATTCTTGTAATGAACAAATGGTTTTTATATACAGTGTAATCAAAACTATGTATCTTTTTTTTCCTTTTTTGTTAGATATTTTAGTATGTTCCCTTAGAATTCTCAAGTTTTACATTTTACCTTGTCTTTAAATCCACTTACAGTTTATTTTTGTTTAGTGTGAGAAATGGGGAATCAAATTTTATGGCATTTTCCCTATGGATAAAAGAATTGTCCTTTCAACACTTTCTGGACAGTGCATTCTTCCTTCATTGTTTGTGATGCCAACTCTGTCACACACTAGTCTTTTATATATGCATTAACCGGTTTGGGGTTCTGTGTTTTGTTCTGTTTGTCCGTGTTATTTGCTAATGTCAGGATCACAAACTCTTTGACCGCTCTGTAAGAAATCTTCAGATGTTACAGGAAAAGTCCTACCAGCCACCTCCCGCAAACTTAGGGTTCTTTCTGTGATATAAAGCTAGAAGCTATGACCCATGAGCTAAGTAAGAATGGTTATGACTGGTTTAAAGGGTTGCAAACAAACGAAAAAAAAAAAAGAACAATATGCTGCAGAAACTGTAGGTTGCTTGCAAAGCCTAAAATATTTACTATCTGGCTGTCCCTTGGTTTAGACTCATTTTGGCCCTGTGGTCTTCCATGTGACTTGTAAGATCAGCTTATCAACTTCCTTGAAAAATCCAATGGGTATTTTGGTTGGAACTTCACTGAATTTGCAGATTAATTTGGGAGAGAATGACCATGTTTGTAACAGTGAGGTTTTCTTCTCCATTTATTTAAGTTCTTTTTTTAAGTCTCTCAGTAAAGTTTTGTCATTTTCTCCTTAAAGGTCTTGTGCACTTTTATCAAATTTATTCCCAGGTACTAGAGAGTATTTGTTGCTATTGTATCTGAAATTTTTAAAAACAGTTTAAATATTTAAATGTTTTTCTACATTTCTGTGGCTGGAATATAGATGATTTTGATATTTTGATTCATATCGACAATCTTGTGGAGTGTTTTCGCTAGTTCTCCTAGTTTGCCTATGGATTCCCTTGGGTTTTCTATGCAGATAATTATATTGGTGATGAATAATGATAATTTAGTTTCCTTCTTTCCAATCTTTGCTTTTTTGCTTTTGTCTTAACTCAGTACACTACCCAGGATCTCCAATATAATATTTGAATAGAACCCCAAAAGGTTTCTCATATTATAGGCAATTCTTCTAAAGTGAGAACAGGCAACTTTAGATATTTATTGTGGGTTATCTTAGTAATTGCCATTTATCACTTTAAAGGTGGTTGGTGTTTAGGCTTAGATTTATGTGTGTTTATCCTGCACAGGGCATTTTGTGCGTCCTGATTCTGAACAGCCATGGCCTTCCTTAGCCTCTGATTCTCTGAATATCGTTTGGCCTCCATTTCCTCTGTTCTGTTCTAATGGGTCTTCTCATTTTTTTCTTCATGTTCCTTTATAATATTTCATCTTTTTATATCTCTGTGCTTGATCCCGTGTGACTTCCTTACATTTATCTCCTGGTTAGCAGTTCCCATCTTGTAGTGAACGAATCCATTGAGCTTTACCTTTTATTGACTATATTTTTCATGTTTGGATTTTTTTCTTATTCCTATTCGAATCTGCCTGTTCTTTTTTCCTTTGCAGTTTATTCTGTTCTTATGCTTTTGGTTCCTCCATTTATTGCTTTAACTCTTTTAAACAAACTTATTTTCTATATCCGATCAGCCCTTCTTGTGTCTGAAGTTGCAAGGATTTAATCCTGCCATGGGTAACTTTTCTTGCTCATGCTGAATTTCCTGCTCTGTCTTTATCTTTGGATCAGATTGTGAAATTAGATTGTAAAATTAAATTGTGAAATCCGGCAGTGCTTTTATCTGGGGGATCCTGTTAAGCCTCAGCTGAAAGTGGGTCCCTTCAGAGTGATTTTTCATTTGCTGCTACATGGTTATCACTGGGGACAAATTTTTTAATTGATTTTCTCAGCTTACAGGTTCTTGGATCATGTGGGTAGTATAAATTTAAATCTCAAATATTATGAGAGCTGGCTTGTGGTTACTAATTCTAGAGAGTATTTTGTTTCTAGTTGGAGTCAGGCCAAGATGGATACATCTCCTTGGTTTTTCTCCGGGTGAATGGACTGGTTTTCTGATCTGTTCTTTGTGAGAGCTGTAGCCCTCTGAGGATCCTGACTCTGATGGGGGCCTCAGTTCCAGCTCTGTTTCCTGTGCAAGCCCAATTGTAGGCACTTCCTATCCAAGCACGGGATCTCCCTGTCCAAGTGTGGGCACTTCCTGTCTATGCACTAAAATCCATCCATGCATTAGGTTACCAGGAATGATAGCTCCCCCAGCATATAATTTCTTCCTATCCTTATAGGTTGTCAGTTATAGTTTTTTACTTCACTGAGATCATATACAAGATGAAACTTTATTTTATTGAACATTTCCAACTTCTAATGGCCCAGAGCTTTCGGGTTATCACCTCAGCAATGTTGCTAGCCTTGTATATCCATGAGGGTTCTTTTCTCTCTTCTCCACAATTAGCAGGCCCACATGGCCTCTTAGACCCTCTGACCCTGTCATTTCCCACATGTGCTTGCTCCTGAGTGACGAGGGCCTTGGCAGAAATGGCCAGGGTGCAGTACAGGCTGGACACTGAATGAGAGCCCCTAGTCTGGGTATTCAATTGCTGCAAGGGGGAAGAATGTGTTACCTGCAGCTCCTTAGCTAATAAAGGGCAGTGCCCAGGGAGCCTGATAAGCTCTGTGGTATACAGCAAATAGTTGGGTGTGACAGAGTATGGATGGTGGACACAGAGAGGTGTAGGTTCAAATCCCAGACTCTTTTCTGAACATCTGTGGGCCTCAGCAGGCCACGTAACCTCTACGAGCCTGCTTCGGCATCTTTAAATGGTCATGATAATGCTAATTTCATGGGACTGTAGTGACAGCCGATGGGCTTTACATTAGGGTTAAGAAAATAGGCTACGAGTTATTCAGGAAGTACGAATTCAAATCTTGCTTTGCCTTTTGTCATGGTCTTGGGCAAATTCTCCCAGGCTGTTTTCTCATCTGCATAATGGGTATATTAATGTTGCCTACCATGAAGGTTGTCGTGAGGAAACTGGGGGAGAGTGTAAGCTGCTTGGCATGTCATCTGTGAGAGTGAGGACTCCGAAGGCGCTTATCACTATTTTGGCATCTTTGGACTTACGCGTTTTCTTGGGCTGCCTCTTCGGCCTTTGAGACCTTCCTGTAGCAATATATCATCTCGATGAGCAGCCACAAGGTGAGGAAGACCAGGAGGATGTACATCATGATTTCTGAGACCACAGAGGTGAAGTCTTCTCCGGCTGCAAGGGGGAGAGTAAGTTCAGAATGGGCATGTCCAAGGAACCCAGGGCCGCGACTGGGGTCTGAAACAGGGAAGGCCTATTTTTAAGTATGGCTTAAATAACCACTGGGTCTAAAGGAATGCAAGAAGGGATCAAAGAGATTTAATGCTGTCTGACTCTCCTGTCTGTCAGCTTTCCCACGGACTTTCTTCAGATGCTCCAGGGAGGGATGCGGAGAATGATGGGCAGAAGGAGTAGATCCAGGAACTAAGTGAGTTATAATATCTTGGTCCCAATTTTGCATGACCAGTCATTTCCCTTATATAAGACTCAGTTTCTCAATTTGAAAAGTGAGGATAATAATTTACACCACTATACTAGCTAATATATTTAAGAGCATCTTGTGAGATGTAAAGTCTGCACAGATGTGAGGAACATGTCTCAGCTCAATGCTAATGTCCTCTGAGTTTAGGCTGGCGGAGGGTGACCTCCCTAGTGAGAGAGCGTTGGAAAAGGGACACGGGGCCATTGCGGTCAGCCCACCCCGTGACCTGGGCATGTCCTCTCCAAGTCTGGATTACAAACAGGGACCGTCCCAGTTTATCCACCTTTCAGGTCATCCCAGACCCAGACACAAAGGAGTACCGGAGTGTTCCATGTAGTAACTGTGCTGTCCTCAGGGTTCCACTTCTGAAACATATATGATCCTGCCATGTTCCTGCCTAAAACCCTTCAGTGTCCCATGCTGCACTCGAGATAAAGACTAAAGTCTATTAACATGGCACGCAGGCCATTCACAATCCAGCCTTTCTCACCTCATTCCTGTCGTACTGGTCAACGAAACTCCTCATACGTAATGTGTTTTTTGGAAATCTGTGGACATTTCTTTGTCATTTTCCCTCTTCCTAGAACGTATCTCACACCCCACTGCTACCTCTGTCCCGACATCCCCTCCTTCTTTTCAGCCTCCCGATCATTCCCTAGACTCCCCTTAGGTTGCCCCCTCTGCAAAGCCTTCCTCGACTCCTCGGGCACAGTTCTTCCCATCCTCCTCCATATACCTTTTTCTCATTCATCTATTATAACATTTCTCGGGCTGTATTGTGCTGTGTTTATGTCTCTTCTCTGCTGTCTGTGTGCTTAAGAACATATTTCTGAATTATCAGCCTGTTTTCTAACCCAGAATATTTGAAGAAAGGTTGCAGCCACAGATCCCCATGCTATCTTACACTAGCAAATAGGATTCATAGTCCTTGGTTACTCATAGGGCCCAAATCATCCCAAGGCCTCCCTCATTAAAAGCACAGCATAGCTGCAGCCACGACCTTCAGCTCAGAGAAGCAGTCCAAGGGCTGCCATATACATCGGATGTCTTCTCATGGGCTTGCTACTTCCTGGTTTGTGATGTGCTCAGCTTAAAGTGCACTATCGCATTTTAAATGCAGTGGCCTAGAAGTGGTTAGCAAAAGAAACCATCCTTAGTATATTTAATTGCCTCTAGGAGAAAGACCTCAGATTTCTGACTGGGACCCAGGAGGCCAGAGATTTAGCCAGGAGAAGTTCAGCTCGAGCAAAGAGAACCAGAGAGATTCCCAGGGACCACAGGAATGGAGGCCCCGGGGTGGGCGAGTCATGGAAAAGGTTGAGGCTTCCAGCAATCTGAGAACAGTGAGTACTGAGGGGAGGGCTGCCAAGGAGTCACAGAGGAAAAAAAAGAAAAAAAGAGTAGCAGGGAGAAAATGGTGGGAGAAGGAGAAGATGCAGGGGGGGACAGAGCTAGTCCGACAGGTGGAAGATCCGCACTGGAGTCCTGCTCCGGGTGCTGATTGGCTTCCTGTCCCCAGGCAAGCCCCGCACCCTTCCAGAGCTCTGTTCCCCCAGCCACACCACGAGGGGCACCAGAACCACACCCTCTAGTCACCTGGGGAGTCACCTAAGCTTACCTACAGCAGACCTCACTCCACCCTACTGCCAGAACACACACCCACAAGACTGGTAAGGGGTGGTCTACACCGAAGGAAAACCCCCGTGTGATTCCGATGCCTGCTCCTGGTTCAGAATCCCATTAAATGACCGCCCAGATTCCTTCCAGCCCTAACATTCCGAGAGGCTCTGGACTCTGATAACAAACTGGGTTTCCTTCCGTGTTTACCCATGTCTTCCTCTAGTGCCCAGCAGGCAGGTTGGCTCAGCTCTGCCACACTTCCCAGCGGCTGCGCAAGGGTCTCTGGAGGCAAAAGCCTGAGAGAGCAGGAGGTGGAGACCTGGTGCCTTTCTAGCGCCCGGCAGTCACCAGCCAACAGTTCCTGATATTGGACAGTAGAGGGCGCCAGGCTCCGTGTCCCCCAGGGAGGAGAGGTGTGTAAACAGAGGATAATGGAACTTCATTCAGAACAGAAAAATACCTTAGAGAGCTTCCAGGCCAACCTCTTCATTTCATACAAGAGCAGATGGGCTCGAAGAGGGAGTGGCTCAATCATTGGGTCTGGATTAAAGTCGTCTGAGAGTCCTGCACCTTCAGGATTGACTGACCCACTTTCCATTTGAGTCTTGCTGTCTAAATCATGACTAAATCACGACATCTACTCGGTCATTCACGTTCAAGTTTGTTTCATGAATTTTATCACAATAACATGATACAAAATAAACTTGTGGCCGGAAGTCGAGACTCCTGGGATTCTTTTCTAGGAAGAGTGCCACCTTTCATATAGCCTCCGCTTTCATGTCCCACACCTCTTACCTGTTCACCAGTCTACAACTTGGGGCAGAGATAATGCTAAGAACATACTAGAAATAGATTGTCTGAAAAAGGCTAAGTAAGATGGAATCATCATTTAGCCTGGGAGAGAAAATCATTTAGCCAGGGAGCTAAGCACACCAGCCACGTTGCACCAGCCACGCTTCTGACATGTGAAAGAACATTTGCTAAGCCAGTTGCACCAGCCACGCTTCTGACATGTGAAAGAACATTTGCAATGAGATAGGAGCCCCAGTTCTCTGAGCCCATTGAAAGTGGGACAGTGCGTGAGAACACTCTCTAAGGTCACACTCAAGATCCTGGATTTGTTTGCACCAGAAACAATTGTTGATGGGAAGACTTCCCATCGTAACAAGGAAGTAGCTGTGAGGAATCAGAAGATTTTAAACGAAAGACCGCAGAGCTATCAGTGTTCCCCCTTCTCCCAGTTGAGAATGAGGTGATGTAATGGGAGATGCCATACATGGGAAAGACTGTGGAGGAAGACAAGACAAAAGGCTGTCAGATTTTGGTTTGGAGCAGCGGTTCTCAAAGTGTGGTCCCCAGCACCAACAGCACCTCCTGGCAATTTATTAGACATGCAAATGTTCAGGCTACGCCTACAGAATCAGAAAGTCTGGGTTTTAAGAGGTCCTGCAGGGGACTCTGAGGCTGGCTGAAGTTTGAGCACCACTGGGTTAGAGGTAGGTATGATGTAGAGACAGGAGGGTAGAAGACATCTAGGTAACTCAGGAGGTTTCTCTGAGCCCAGTGAGTCAGGGATTGAACCCAGGCCAGAGAAGAAGGCGTAGCTGATGTGGTAGCCTTAGGCTTCACGGAGGCTGTGGTCCTCTTTCTGTAAGGATGAGGTCAAGGGACCAGGAAGAGGTCGTTCTACTGTGATCCCCCAGCCTTTCTGCTTTGAGGAAAGGCACAGAGGGCAAGCTCTTGGGCAGCGTGCAGTAAGCTGGCCACTTTAGGAAGACAAGTCAGTGGGGACATTTTTAGATATCACCACTCCCAGAACATGGGATTTTGCATACCCTAAGTGCTCTTATTTGTGTGGAAACCAACAGCCCAGCCCCCTACCTCTAAGAACAAGACACCCTGGGGACCCTCTGCCCAGCCTCACCCTCCTCGGTGACTCGGAGAGGGATCAGCCGTGTAGTCTTCACAAAGGGGCGATGCGCCTCAAACTCAAATTCCCGGGACACGTTGCAAGTGTAGAGGCCAGAGTCATTCAAGGTGACGTTGAGTACAGTGATGGACACATCTTGCAAGTCTTTGCTTCCATTCCACTGTAGGCGTCCCTGGAAGGGGCTCTCCACCTCCTGGTGACCATTGCGATACTCGTAGATCTGCAGGTAGAGAAGCAGAGGGCAGTAGGGCCAGGAGAGAAAACGGGGGTGGGGGGGAACAGGGGAGCTGAGATGGGGACGGGGACGAGAAAGGAACAGAACTGGCAGGGCAGTAGGGGCCATGGTACGAGGGGATACTGAGCGTGGAAGTGGGGTGAGGCTCAAAGGAGGGAGGGAAGAGAACGAAGACCAGGAAGAGGGCAAAAAGCACATGGACGCAGGTAAGAGGTGGGAGGGAAGGAGCTTGGCAGAAAAGCAGAGGCAGAAAGAAAAAGAAAAGGAAGGTGAGTGAAGCACAGAGAGACCAGGAGGGGGAGACTGAGAGCAAGAAATATCAGAAGGACAGGGAAAGAACAAGAGCATAAGAGGTGCCATGGGGGCCGCCAGTGAGAGTGAGGCTCAGAGACACGAGAGGCAGTGTAATTAGTCACGAAGACAGCCGAAAACCCTGGCCTCAGAACTGGATTCTCTCTGAGTCAAGAACTGCCAGCCCATATGCACAGCATCAGGTCTTTGCCTTTGGGCTAAATGATGACCGAAATCTGGTCTCTAAACTTTTCTCAAGCACTTCCACCTTCTGACACGCCTTTGTTTTCACTACATCTGTGCTGTCTGTTCTAGTCTCCATTGGCCATGTGTGGTGTGGCTACTTACTAATTTAAATTAGTAGACATCGAATACAACCTATAATTCTGTTTCTCAGTTGCACCAGCCACATTTCAAGGGCTCTGGCTAGTGGCTACTGATCAGACAATACAAATACGGAACATTTCCACCCCCACCAAACTGTCTATCAGACAGCATTGTTCTGTATTTCCACTACAATTTTTAAAGCTTCTTTTCCTCCTCCTGAGACACCTTCTCCTCACTCTGGGCAAGCCTGGAAGTAGAGGACGCAGCTGCATATAACCTGAGGCAAATGGGGGGCTTCACTTATGGCCAAGATAACGAGGTCCCTGTAACTTGGGGGATCAGCCTCAGTCACGGTCAACCCCGAGCCAGGCTCTGGCAAGTCTACCGACTATAGTTCTGCCCCTGATTGGAGCAGACCTACATCAGCCTGGAGTCAGAAATGAGTTCAGCCTTAGGAAGCTAAACTGCAGAGTAAGAGCAGCTCAGTTTCACCCTGCTGTTGTCGTCTCCATCAAGCCTTCGTGGGGAAGAACCTTGCCTCCAGGTAGGTGGGGTCGTTTGGTAAGAAAGGCTTTGACTCTGTTGTTAGATGAGCTGGCTCAAACCTAAATTCTCACTAACTTAACTTTTTGGAGCTTCGGTTGCTTCATTTGCATGTTATATGTATCTTTTCGCTAGCAAACATTGATACAATGCTTCCTAAAACCCAGAGCTATTCTAAATGCATTAAAAATTGAGGCTGAAGGGTCTTGGGAGCAACTCTATGAGGTAGCTATGGCTTTATATCCCCATTCTAGGGATGAGGAAACTGAGGCACAGCGAGGTTAAACAATGTGTTCCAGGACCCAGAGCTAATAAAGTTGTGAAGTTAAGAAGCAGACCCAGGTAGACTGATTCCAAAGTGGGCACAGGTGTGAATAATGGTCATCCCCAGGGTGGCATTCAAAGTATGCAACAAGCGTATGGACGCTGACACCAAACACTCCAGTGGAGAATGGCCATGGCCCAGGAGCAGAGTCTCAGAGGCCCCCTGCCCTGTCAGGTCCATCCCTTTGATTCTAGATCACAGGGAGGTCTGGAGGTTCCCAGGAGGAAGGATGGTGGGGAGGCCACTGGGAGGCCGGCCACAGCAAGTATCTGCTATAGAATTACTTAAATATTTTACTATTGATGTGGCTGTACTCGGTGTACCAGCTGAGTATCAGCCTTGGTCATCTCTATCATTTTTGTTTCACTGGGATTGTGGGAGTCAGTTGAGCTGACCTATGTTATGTTATACAATGACGCAAAATCCATGTTTCTACTAATTTAATCCTCCCAACACAATGGTGCAGAAGATTCACTGAAAACCCCTGCACGGTGCCTTGTTGGATGACCAGCACACAGTAGGCTTGAAGGACTACTTCTCTCTCTTCCTTCTCCTGCTTGTGTCCAGGGATGCTTGCAGCTGGCCCAGTGCCCTTCCTGTCACAGAGGCTGCGCTAAACCAAGGATGTCAGTTACTTGCTGAGGAGCTGGCAGGGCTTTGAACAGAAAGAGCCAGGCACATAATAGCAGAAGCAAGCAAAAGAAAGGCCAGAGTCAGCAGTCAGACATACAAGGAAATCTTTACCGCCCTCGGGCCTGTAGAACCATTCCACCACCGTGGTGGCCTCCACCTCCTCCCTCTTCATGCAGGAGATGCAGCGCAGCTTCATGGGGTTGCCCTGAACAGCCTCCGTCTCCGACGGCACTTCCACACACACGGGGAAGCAGACATTGACTGGAGAGAGGCCGGATGACAGGGGAGGAGCAGGAGGTGTTGGGAAGGGCGTCACCAGGAGAGAGGCATTGGAGAACGAGGGAGGGAGGGAGAAGGGACGAGAAGGAAAAATATGAGACAAACTCGTGAACAGCACATAGGTGTGCGCACACCTTCCCCTGCGCTCTCCCAGTACGCATGCTCAGAGCTGGCAGGGCCGTAGGGAGAGGAGCCATGGATGACTGAACTGACTTGAGAGCCTCCCCGGAAGCAGTGGGGGTGGGGTGCAGCACTTTGAACTCTGCCCGCAAAGATTTAAGTGTCGAGGTGGGAGGCAGGGCATACACACATCCACCCATTGGTCAACATGCACCCTTCATTCAACCAACGTGCTCTGAAACCTACTCTATGTGAGGCCTGATACTAGGCTGAGACCCAAAGATGAATGAAATACAAACCATGGCATAAAGGCATTTATCATCTAGGAGGGAACACACAGTAACGTGCTCTGTTCCCAGAGGAGGGGCAATTAATTATTCCTTGTTGGGCTGAGGACAGAGGAAGAGGACGGTGAGTCTTGAGGCTGGAAGGGTAGATCTGACTATGTTGTGAAGAACTCTGTACGTCCTTCACAGTATGAAGGTCAAATGTTTGAAAACCATGGATTGATATAATTATATCTGTCTTTTATGAAAAATTCAGGTAATTCTGATGCAGGGTGGAGGATGGAACAGCAATGAGAAAAAGGCTGAGCTGACCTTTAGGCTGGAGTGCTGGCTTTACACAGAGGAGTAGAAAAACAAAGTTAAAAACCTGGAGAGAGGTCAGACTGGGGGATAGCTTACACGCTGCATGGAGGTCTGAACTTATAGTTCCTGCCCTCTACAAATTCGCAGCTCCAAAAAAAGGCAAATATATCAGCCTGCAAATTCAGAATAAATCGAAGCGTGGGATGTGGCTGCCAATAAGGCAAGTGCAAACGTGGGCCATATTAACAGATGCACAATGTGCAGAACAAGGGAGAAACAGTTCCTCCGCACTGTTCAGAACAAATCTGGACTGTTATGATCAGTGCAGGGTGTCACATTCTACCAAAGGTAGCCGTTCACTGAGTTCATGCCCAGAGAGGGGCAAGATGGAGAAGGATCTGGGGACAAAGTCTGGTGAGCAACAACTGGGGGCAACAGGGGTGCTAGCTTGGGTGCAGAATTAATCTGTCTTCAAATATGAAGGCTGGCATACGGGAGAGAAAAATAGATTCTGTCCAAAAGTTACAAGAAAGCAGTTTACCTCAAGTTAAAAAAAACAGCACATAGGTGTGCGCACACCTTCCCCTGCGCTCTCCCAGTACGCATGCTCAGAGCTGGCAGGGCCGTAGGGAGAGGAGCCATGGATGACTGAACTGACTTGAGAGCCTCCCCGGAAGCAGTGGGGGTGGGGTGCAGCACTTTGAACTCTGCCCGCAGCAAAGATTTAAGTGTCGAGGTGGGAGGCAGGGCATACACACATCCACCCATTGGTCAACATGCACCCTTCATTCAACCAACGTGCTCTGAAACCTACTCTATGTGAGGCCTGATACTAGGCTGAGACCCAAAGATGAATGAAATACAAACCATGGCATAAAGGCATTTATCATCTAGGAGGGAACACACAGTAACGTGCTCTGTTCCCAGAGGAGGGGCAATTAATTATTCCTTGTTGGGCTGAGGACAGAGGAAGAGGACGGTGAGTCTTGAGGCTGGAAGGGTAGATCTGACTATGTTGTGAAGAACTCTGTACGTCCTTCACAGTATGAAGGTCAAATGTTTGAAAACCATGGATTGATATAATTATATCTGTCTTTTATGAAAAATTCAGGTAATTCTGATGCAGGGTGGAGGATGGAACAGCAATGAGAAAAAGGCTGAGCTGACCTTTAGGCTGGAGTGCTGGCTTTACACAGAGGAGTAGAAAAACAAAGTTAAAAACCTGGAGAGAGGTCAGACTGGGGGATAGCTTACACGCTGCATGGAGGTCTGAACTTATAGTTCCTGCCCTCTACAAATTCGCAGCTCCAAAAAAAGGCAAATATATCAGCCTGCAAATTCAGAATAAATCGAAGCGTGGGATGTGGCTGCCAATAAGGCAAGTGCAAACGTGGGCCATATTAACAGATGCACAATGTGCAGAACAAGGGAGAAACAGTTCCTCCGCACTGTTCAGAACAAATCTGGACTGTTATGATCAGTGCAGGGTGTCACATTCTACCAAAGGTAGCCGTTCACTGAGTTCATGCCCAGAGAGGGGCAAGATGGAGAAGGATCTGGGGACAAAGTCTGGTGAGCAACAACTTGGGGCAACAGGGGTGCTAGCTTGGGTGCAGAATTAATCTGTCTTCAAATATGAAGGCTGGCATACGGGAGAGAAAAATAGATTCTGTCCAAAAGTTACAAGAAAGCAGTTTACCTCAAGTTAAAAAAAATTTTTTTTTCTGGTGCTGACGCTGTTCACACATGGAAAAAAATCTATTTGACAAGAGAGTTTATACCTCTTGTATGGAAGATTCAGAAAAGGGATGATCGCCAAGGATTCTTATATCAGGACTTCTAAACTCCCTTCTGATGCCACCTTCTCATGAATTAGTAATAAAGACAGAACCTCTAAAATAGTGAAACAATACACATTGATGTTTAGACAGTGGTCGACTGTAAATAGTCAGTCTGTTCCTCTATTAGCAGACGGTTCTTTCTAAAACCAGAAGAAAGCTTTATTTAGAGCTAAAATAACACTAATTTTGAGTTAAAAAAAAAAAAGAATTGCGTGATAGACTTAGAACGCAGCAAATTTCATGTTAAAACACTGTTGAAAAACTAGTGGCACTATGATAAGGTTTAAATTAGCAAGGAAAAATAAATTTAATTGGTTTTGAAACTCTCAAGCAAACTAAGGCTGGTCTACCGGCCAGTCTACAAGAGGGTCTCTTGCTTCCACACATGACCGTCACTCTAAAGGAGAGAGGGTCCAATCAAGAGAGAACTGTCAGAAACATTTTCAGAATGCGATGAGCTTGAAATCTTGATTATAAGCCTGGTTTAAAAAAAAATGAGAAGGTGTGCTCTGTGCAGAAGTTTGGGAGTGGATAGAGGTACAGAGTGCATACTGAGAACTCTATGCACTAGGAAGCCTTGGGGCACATTTAATTTTTTTTTCTTTCTTTTATCAAATGTATATCACAGTGGTTCAACAGTTCCCCCTCCCCCTCCCTCTGCTTCTACCCACTCCCTTCCCCCTTGGTGACCAATAGTCACTTCTCAGTGTCTAGGAGTCTAATGCTGTTTTGTTCCTTCTGTTTGCCTTTGTTTTTGTTGTTGTTGTTTTGGGTTTTTTTTTTGCCTTTGTTTTTATATTCCACAAATAAGTGAAATATATGGCATTTGTCTTTCCCTACCTGGCTTATTTCATTGAGCATAATACCCTCTAGCTCCATCCATGTTGTTGCAAATGGTAGGATTTTTCTTTTCTTTTTATGGCTGAATAATACTCCATCGTGTATATGTACCATTTCTTCTTTATCCAGTCACTTACTGATGAATACTTAGGTTGCTTCCGTATCTTGGCTATTGAAAACAGTGCAGCAATAAACATAGGGGTGCATATATCTTTTTGAATCCGGGATTTTGTTTTTTCAGGTAAATTCCTAGGAATGGAATTACTGGGTCAAATGGCATTTCTATTGTTAGTTTTTCAAGGAATCTCCAGACTGCTTTCCACAGAGGTTGCACCAATTTGCAGTCCCACCAACATTGTAGGAGGGTTCCTATTTCTCCGCACCCTCACCAGCATTTGTTATTTCTTATCTTTTGGATAGTGGCCATTCTAACTGGTGTGAGGTGATATCTCACTGTGATTTAATTTGCATTTCCTTGATGATTAGCAATGTGGAGCATCTTTTCATGAGGGCACACTCATATTTAAGGAGACATGTTAAAGGTAAGTTAGTTGGATGATGTTAACTTCAAAAGCAGAATAAGCAAATGTACCAAGGAATGTGTGGTTACAATTAGGCAGGATGAAGAAGGTATTTGGCAACTGAAGGACTGGGTTTGATCTACTATTTAACTTCTCTGAGACTCAGCTTATTCACCAACAAAATGCTGAAAATAGTATCTACCTAATAGATTGGTCTTGAACATTTATGGAATAACTCATAAGAATGTGCTTTGTACAAACATCACTTGTGAATATTATTTTACCCTTCATTTATTTGCTCAGTCATTCAACATATGAATGGAGGGCTCACTGTGTGCCCGGCACTGTTCTAGGCCCTAAGAACACAATAGCGTGCACAATAGAACCATCCCTGATCTCACGGTGCAGGGAGAGAGAAAACAAGAAGCATTAAATTGTAATAAATTCTATGAGAAAAAATAAAACAGAGTAGAGGCAATAGTGTATAGGACCACTGGAGACAGCAGGCACTGAAGGAAGGAAATGAGGAAGCAAGCTGTATCTTGAATACACAATAAGGTACAGGGAACAAAGCCAGGATAGGAGGCAAGATAGGAGAGATAAGCCAGGGCCACATCATGGCTGACCTGGTACGCCATGATTAGACCTTTGGCTTTGGCTTAGAGTGACATGGGGAGCACTGGAGGGTTCTGAGAGGAAGGAGGCCATGATTTACATAAAACTACCATGTTGAGAATAAACTGAGGAGGTGAGGAAGGACAGGAGTGCAAGCAAAGACAGCAGTTGAGAGGCTGGTTCAGTGATCAAATTGAGAGATGGTTCAATGGTTTTGCTTGGATGAAGGTGGTGGTGAAGCAATTGGGGTCTGAATGGGAATAATTTGCTGGACTAACATCCTTGAATAGGTAGGAGGCGATGTACTCTTAAGTGTACAAGCAGGTGAGTTGGTCTTAAAAATAGGAGCACAGTTAGGTCATTTGTAGTTAAAGGAGGGAGGGCAGAATATACGCAGTCAGCGTGGTGAAATGGCAGCCTCTCTTGTTTTCTGAGTTGCCCCTGAGATGGGACTACTCTAAGGTAGCATCAGAGAGCAAGTCCCATGGTTCCCTTCCAACCAAAGCCCAGTTTCAAAGTTTAAGAATTCTACTCATGAGGTCCTGAATAGTACATTGTAAAATGGCCACAACTGTTTGCTTGCCTTTTGCAACATGACTTGCTGCTCCTTCGTCAAAGGGTGAAGTCTGTTTCTCCAGCCCATCAGTCCCCAGTCAGTACTCTGCTGCCTCTCTTTCTATGAAATTCTCTAGATATTTAAGAAAAGGTTGAACATATAGTAGGTGTTCAACCCACATTGCTGACTATAAATAATAAACTCTTGGAATAATCTTGGTCGAATCATTTGACCTTTGGTCAGCTCTTTAATTTCCATAGTAACAATGAAGAAAGGGAGAATATAATGTATTAATGATGATTATATTTAATTATAGAATAGCATCAATCTATTACGAGGTGGGTAGTAATGTGTATTGAACCAACTCCTCTAATACCGCCAAGTCTTTCTCTTCTTCTGGCTTTTGCTACATTTCCCCTCCTGAGCTTGATTAGAATCCTTTCTTTTGTGTTAAGAATAATAAAGGCTTTGATTAGAATGCAAATAGTTTCCACAAGGGGGGTAATAACTGAAGTGATCTGTAGATACTAACAGCTTGAAATGACTTGGTCTATCAGATTAGCCAGTCACTTAGCAGAGCCTTGAAAGATTGAGAAGTAAAGCAGGATTCTGGGGGAAAGGAGGAAAACATTCCCCAACACAGCAGATATCTGGTAGAGTAGATCTGGAGAGGAAGAGCAGGGACTAAAGGATGAGTGAGGTCCTAGGAAAGTCAATGGCATGGCAAAGGGGGGAAGGGTGGCTCACAAGAGGGATGAGAGGGCAGGTGTCTCCCTGGCAATCCTGCATAGCAGCACATGTGTCCAAAAGAGGAGCTAGAATGAGCACTAAAAGACTGAAATCAGAAGACAAGGGTTCTCCAGCAAGTCCTTTCCCCTCTCTGAGCTCATTTTCTCATCTCTAAATTGGACATATTACTACTTCCCCTGTCTACCCCATAGGATTGATATGGGGGCCTAAAGAAGTAATGGATTGAAAATTGCTTTGTAAACTGTAGATCACCAGGCCAGTGTAGGGTTTTATTATTATTATATACTGCACTGAAGGAAATAAGGGAACTTTTTTCAACACATGCAGAAAATAAAAGAATGGAAAAGATTCTTTCCAGTCATAGTTGCATCATATGAAAAATCAATGTGGGAAGGAAGAACGCATCTAAGCTAAGTGCTTTCTAAGAATGGAATTATACACTAATAAAATGAAATTCACTTGTGATTTGAGGCCCTTTCTCTTAAATTTAATGACCAGATTTCCTGAACCATCCCTCTTTTCCCTTCTGCAGCCTTTCAGTTTGGTAAACCAATGTTCAGGTTACACAGAAGCTGAGAACGAGCAAGGGTGGGGGTAATGTACAACACTTCTTCCAAAGGTTACTTTTTGTGAGGGAGGGGAGTGAAGGTGGGGAGAGGGATGGGCCCTACCAATTTTAGCAATATTCTGTAAATATTTCCCTACCATTGAGTTGTGGAGCTGAAAGGGATGTTAGATATCATCTGCCCCACCTTCCAAACTTTACATGTGAGTAAACAGATACTCTACTGTTGATACAAAATGAGCTAGTGGCAGCACTGACTCCCATCCAGGCTTTGTAAATCCTAGTCAAAAAGTCCTTGGACTATATAGCATGTTCCCCCTCCTCCACTGGAATTCAGGCAGGGATTCTAATAAGTTAAATTAGAGTTTGGTAAGAAAAGCTCTCTAGAATCTCACTCCAACCTCAATGCTTTACCCACATTCTTTCTTACCAGCCAGATTAACCTCTCCTATGCCTCATGTCCCTAGTTTTAGCCTTCCCTGTGGAAATCTCAGCCTTAATCTTCAAGGAAGGTGAGATCATTGGCAACCTATTATGTCTGTTTCATCTTCAGGTCTGATCCACTCTACTGGGAATGGATGGCGGTAAGTGTGCCTTTGGGACTGGCATTACTGTCCCCTTTGTCCTTCCTAGTCTGTCTTATCATGCGTTTTATTCAACAGGAAGCTTGGTTCTGCTTCTGGTCACATGAAAAATCCAGGAAATGCTGGCAGCCAGAGTTAGTCCTGGAGGCTTAATAAGGTGATAGTAAGGCAAACAGGCAATTCCCGTTAGCATATTAGCCACCGCACAGGCAGAGTGAGGTTCATGTCAACCATGGAAGCATAATCTCACACGCCCACTTTCAATAACACAAGGGAGGCACAATCACTTCTAATTATCCTGGTTATTGATTTTTTTTTAGCTAAGATCATGTAAAGAAATATATCAAGTGAAAAACACTTTTTGACGTGAGGACTTAAAGTCGTCAAAAGCAGAGATGCCCAGAACCATACAACTACACACACACACACACACACACACACACACACACACACACACACACACACACACACTACTACATCCTCACCAATCCATTCAGATGCTGATACTAACATGCTCACACATACGCTAGCACACACATTCAAACACTGAGGCATACACTGACACAGTAAAGCATTCTCTCAATCACATATTCGGACATTATCGTGTAGACTCATTAAACTCCTTCCACACACATGCACACACCCCACTCCAAGCCTGTCTCTGACACCATTCTGCTTAGCCTTCTTGTAGGTCTTCCTTATTTGGAGGGAGAAGGTCACCTCACTCCCTCACAGAATACAAACAAGAACCTATTCATCTTGGAAGGCTAAAAACTCAGTTCCCCAAACACCAAACATCTTAGCTCCATATATTCATGAAAAAGAAGAAAGATGCAATTCTCAGGTGCCTATTTGTCTAATACATGCTGCAAATGGCTGAATGTAGATGGAACTAAAGTATTTTCACTCTTAAAATGCATGCATCCAGCTTAAAAAAAATAGAGAAATTAATTTGAAAACCCACTGACTCCCCATTGAGAAATGAAATGGAAATGCAACCAAGATTTTTTATATACATATATATGAACCTGACTGAACTTCCTTTCAGCAAAGGGAAAGGGAAAAAAATATTTTGGAATTAACAGGAAACAGGAAGAAGGGTGGGAAAACCACCAGGGGACGTTGGTTTGGGGAATGAAGCAGCAGAGGACTGGGGAGGTATTTTTCCAATCTCAAAATCCCAGCTCTCATGGAACCCCTATGGATTTCTATGTCTGGCCGACATGCATAGAAAGGGAAGCCAACCCCGGCTCCTGTTCGTCGCCAACAACATCAGTAATTATTATTGTTAGCATGATTACTGTTATTTGCGTCTCACATGACAGGTGCTGGTACTTACCCCAGAAGATGAGCACGAGAGAAAAGAGGGAAAACAATCTGTTGGAGGCAGGCATCTTTTTCCGTGGGTGGTTTCAGAAGGGGCTAAACAGAGAGATTCCCTTGGTCAAGAACTGCACCCTCTCAGGTACTTTCTAGGAAACCCTTTGGGATGAAATGCCCCCAACGGGGCGACTTTCTGACTGAAATAAGAGCCAGACGCCGGTAACTGGGGAGGCTCTACGGGCTTTCTGAGCCAGGCGGTGGTGGTGGGGTTTCAGCTCCAAGCTAACTGTAGCCAACCGCCCCTGTTCGAGGGAGCAGATCAGCAGCTTGGCGCGCTCTCCCCGGAGCCCGTTGCTGGGATCCGGCTCAGCACCACGGACAGCACCTTCCCCGCCCACCCCGGAACTTCGAATGCCAGTTACTCCGCTGCTCGGCTTGTTTGCGCCTCGGGAAAGCTCAGCTCTCAGGGAGCAGCTAGACTGGCTCTAGGCGGCTGGGCTGTCGAAGGGGTCCATGTTGGTAACCCTCTCACCTCCCAAGGAGCTGCTACGCGCCAATTAGCAGCCACCAAGACACGGGATCCTTCCGAGATGGAGCTCGGGCTTCATCCGCCCCGCCCGGCTTCGCTAGCTGGGCGTGCCCCGACTCCCGAAGCCACCGGGGCCGCCGTCTGAGCTACAAAATTCGTTCCACCTCGTCCCGTCCACACCCGCCCTCGGCTTCCCGGGGAGGTCCGGAGGGGCTTAGAAGGAGGAAGAGGCTCCGGTTCGGCCGGCGAGCTCAGAAGTGGGGGGCGGGGTGAGTGTGGGAAGGGTGGGCCCCTTCCCCGGAGCTCGACCCCAGATCGCGCCAAGGCCCGACTCTGGGTGGCGGGTGACCAGCTTTCCTTCTTCAGGCCCCCCGACCGCGTGTGCAGTCAGCCTGGACATGCGCAGGCGGCCGTCCGCCCCCGCAGCCACCACGGACCCACCCCTCGTGCCCACACTCCCCACCCCCAAACAGGCGTGCCCCTCCCAGGGCCCAGCCCAGCTGCGAGAGGGGGGGGCGGAGCTCGGAGCAGCACGAACACCTCCGGCTCCCGCGATTGCTCCGCTGGCTGGCTGGCTGGCTGTCTCCGGGTCTCCCATCCACATCTCCTCACCTCTACCCAGCACGGGCACACTCCCTCCCACCAGTTCACACCACTCCTGCCGGCGCACGGACATGCTTGCCTCCGGCTCCGGGAAGGGGAGGGCCAAATCTCTTTCGGGCAATGATGTCATCTGCAATGTACACTGCACAGGAGAAGCTCTGGGCTTCTGCCCCCCGACCCCGTCCCCTCCTGTTCTCCCAGTCTATCCTTTGTCTAGCCTTGATTGATTGGTTCCGATCACACAGAACGCAGCGAGATAATAATCCCTGCTTAGGAAAGGGGCTAGGAGTGAGGCGCACCTGTTCCCACGTTCACCTCCTCGCCCAGTGCGGCGACCGAGATGTAGGCGCAACAGCGGTGTTGGGGGCGGCGGCAACTCCCTCTCACTCTAATCTTTTTTTTTTTTTTTTTGTTTAAAAGCAGATAGATTGTGGTTTGGCTTCTCCCTCTTAGCCACTCCCTAGTCCTAACAGCTGTTTCAGTGCCCCTGCCCCGTCTCTGGAAGGGAAATATGAACCTTTAAAACCAGTTATAAACTCCAATTGACATAACGGGTTAGGAATGCCTGGACCTGAAGTGAAAGATTAATACAAGAACCTTTCTCCCCACCCTCTTCTCATCTTCTCCTGCTCCCCTTTCCAAAAGGGGAAGCTTGACACTGATATTCCAAAAAAGAATGGGCAGAGTAACAGCTGACCGTAAGTGAACCATAGGCAGGAAATTCTTCCTAACACGTCACAGGGCAAGAAAAGTCTACAAAATAGGATCTTCTTCCTCGGCAGGGAGCCACCAGGCCATAAACTCTGTTTTGAAGACCAGCCCTCAAAGCACAATGTATTAGACTTGGATGAGAAGCTAAAGTTAACTTGACTTAATCTCCTTTCCAATTCATGTATCCCCTAAGAACATTCTTGATGAACAGACTTGACCTTTTCCAGTGATGGGAGCTTACCACTTGGCAAGTCAGTCCGTTCTGTTGTTTGAAGAAGTCTTTATATTCTTTTCAACTCTGTACACATTTCCTCTCTCACCAAATTCCATTAAGTGGTCCTCAAACTGTTTTATTTAAAAAGCTATGCTTGTGTGTACACCACCCCCAAGTCTTTTTTGTTTGAAACTATGAGTTTCTTGCAGTATATTTCCCAGTAGTTTCCAACCCTTAACCACCTTGCTCACTTTCTCAGGAGGATTTTTAGTTTGTTAGCATGATTCTCACAGTGACATCAAGAATAGGAACTGATGTTGGCTGTGTGGTCTGACCAGTATAAATCCAGGGGAATTATGGTCACAGTTGCTTTAGAGAGTGTGTCTAATCAACTACATTAACAGCTATGTCTAATTCATAACAAGCTTATTATGGTCAATTAAAATCCCTTAGTATTTTTCACCCAACCTGTTGCAGTCATATTTACTTACACTTGGCAATTTTGGAAAAATTATTATGAAACTCTGCACTACTGCTGTTAAAATTTATTAGTTTCAACCAATTAGCACATCCTAATACTGTTATTGAATCAATTTTCTCTCATACAACGTATCTTTCTTCAATTTTCTTCTGTCCGCTTGACAATCACTTGATCCCAACATAGATTTTTTTTTTATGGATAGAAAAACACAAAGAAGGATCCTTTGGCATGATTTGAAAGACCTTACTCTAGCTTAACAATGAGCTACTAATTAGACTTTGGTACGGTTGCTCAATCACAAATAAATATCCAAACATGCCTCCCTATTTTTCATATTTGTAGCATGACACATTCTGAAAATTTTAAACGACAGAAAAATGTGAGAGGAATTAGACTTATAATGATCCAGAGAAACAAGGCAGGATCAATAGTTTACATTTACATGGAAACAGATTTTCAACAATATATCTCAACCCGTTCCACACAGGAATGAGTCACCTTTTGTTATGTTTAAGCAGTGATCAGCCAAAGAGTTACTAGGACTGATTATAGGAAAAAAATCTTCCATAGGTTAGAAATTTGGAATATGTCATTCCATAAAGTTCCAATCATCTTTTAAGATTCTGTGATTTTATTGAAAGTGTCACCCAAATACGTAGAGTAACCGAGATATTTTCAGTCTGACAATTCACCACCACTACCCCGTTGGAGCTGGCCCAATTTTGCATAATTTTTTCTTATGTCTGTGTTGATTCCTAATAATCACAATATGGTTTTCTAAATGCTTACCAATCCCATTTTAAATAGTTACTGTGAAGATTTTACATGAGCTTTTAGGAACAAGGTGCTTGCCTCCAGTTTGCGTAAGTGACTTCCCCTGTCTCTCTGCTATTGAAAACAGGAGCCCTTGGTCTTTTCAGCCTTCTGACACTTCCTTTGATTGTGGGCAGTGGCTCTCAGTCACTTTAGCAAGTAGGTTAAGTTCCCTGAAGTACATCTGGCCTTGTTCTGAGAGTTTTGACTCATTTAAGTTGCTTACATTACCTCTTCCTCCTTTCTGTCATTTTGGCTTTAACTTTTTTTGCTGTTTTTTTTTTTAACCTTTTAAAATTTGATGATCATCTTCTCCCACAGTTGCTGGGCAAAACCATCCATTCTAGTCCATAAACAGTGGCCACCACAGCACGCTTGTATTTTATAAGATCATGCGCCTTTCTTGTCCAGAGCCCTTCAATTGCATCTCATTGAACTTAAATAAAGCCTAGACTCCTCACCATGGCCTCGCAAGGTCTGCCCTGAGTCCTGGCTATTTCTTCACACACATGTCTGCCTTTCCCTGTCTTGTCAACAATGTTTCATTGCACTTGATTTTTTGAAAAATGCATCTCGAACTTACTAAGCTTTTCCCCTGATAGAGTATTTGCAGCAGATGTTCCCTCTGCCCAGCATGCTCTCCATCCCAAGGATGGTTTCTTCTCATTCAGGTCTTGCCTCAAATGCCTTCTCCTTAGAGTGGCACCCTGGCCATGCTTGCTAAACTGGTTTCCTGCCCACTTGCCCCACCTGTAGCTATTTATTACCCCATTTTTTATTCTTCATATCTGCTCTCATTATCCACAATTACTTTATTTGAAATTTATGCATTTGCTTGTTTTCTGTTTCTTCCTATCAGAATGTAAGCGCCATGAAAGCAGGCTTATTTGTTCTGGCTCTGCCGTACTCCTCTGCCTGCATTGGTTCCAGGCAGATATTAGACCTTCTGTTAATCTTGAATGAGTAAGTGGGTGGACGAACAAGCAGGGTAGTGTGGGAATGGTGAAGAGCTCCAGGCCACCATCCACAGAGGGAACAGAAAAGAACAGCAGAGGAATGGCAGAAGACCCAGGAAGAAGCAATGCCACAGTGGACAAGGAGAGAGAATTCTAGACGTGGGGACCCTCGTCCTAGGAGGGGACTCCAGCCAATTATGCACAGGGATTGAGGAGGAGGAGGAGGGAGAAGTAAGGGACCTGATGTATTCAGAGATTTTGAGGTGGAGGGGAAGGAATGACCTTGACAGGGAAAAGGAATGGCACCTGATGGGAAAAGGAGTGCATGGAGAAGTCAATTTTCCTAAGGAAGGAAACACATTTCACTAAGATTGATGGGGAACAAAATCAAGTATGAGACCTTAAGACATACATATGGATTTTGGTAAAGCAGCAAGCAAACTACCCACTGGGAGTAGGGGGTGTGGAAGGACAGGATAACTAGGGACCAAGGAGACGGTCTGGCATCACCGTGCACCCCTTCCTGATGTGTAGAAGAATGTGAAGAAAGCCTTTCAAGATTAATGCACACCTGAGCTAAGAGTCAAGATGCAGAAATCGGAGCCCAATGTAGGCAAGTCAAGTACCTGCTTTTAAAAATTCTAAGTGGATTTTGAAATGTAGTGCACACTCATGGGGCATGGAGAGGGAAGAAACATGTTTATTTTAGACTGTGGCCAAAGAACACATATGGGGCTGAGAGATATCAGGCTCCCTCGAACCATTCCCTCACTCTGCTCGCCAGCTGCGTGGTCTCTGTCACCAGCCAAGGGAAGTTTGGGATTAGAACAGGAAACAGTGACCTGATGGCCAGACTATGTGAGCCTTCCCAGAGCTGCACATGGCAGAGAATCTGGCAGGTAAGATGGGGCCAAAAATGTCTGTTGAATTTTACCGAATTGCATTGGAATGATTAGGGAAGCTAGAACTTTCCTGACACCCAGGAGTGCCCCAAACCCAGCACACACTGTGTATAACAGAAGCTAACATCACACTACTCCTAACGACTCTTCAGGAAGCCCATGAATACACATCCATGAGCATGCTGTCCATAGGTAATTATGAAATCCAATATAATCTAAACATTTGAATGGGAAAAAAGATATCATTGCTGATAAGGTACTTGAAGCTTCTCAGAAGAAAGTAGTATTTCAACTATTGCTGTTAGCCTGGAATGATTTTCTGTGCCTTTCTGGCACGTACCTGGCTGAAGCTCTTAGGCCAGGCAGGAGGAAAGTCTCTTAGTGAAGTGAGTGTCATTATTGCCTTTGCTGCTGATGTAAATACTCTTCCTGTTTTGGTGTTCGGGGCAGGAGCAGCAACAGTTGAGGCCTGGCTAACTCCGTGCTCATCAGAAACATTATTGAAGATGAAAACTAAACCACAAAATGATCCCAGGGTGGGGTGCAGGAGGCTTATGTGCCAGGCCTAGCTCCACTCTGACACTGCACTGACATTCTCGTGAATCTTTTGAGCCAATCCTCTCTCTCTAATTGTCAGTCTCCAGAGTTGCTGGGAGCACACAGGAAATAATGTCGCGTAGATGTGTGGGTGTGTCTTGTATAGTCCTCTAAAACCAAGAGGTGTTAGGCTCCTGTTTAGATTATTTCT